TAAATATAATGCAGGAATTATACAGGAATTTTCGCATATATCTTCGTTTTTGTATTTCATTGACTTGCAAATGTCTACATTAATCTGGTATGAGACAAGCGCACTTCGGGGACAGTGAAACGCTGTTCCGACTGCAGCAAAAAACACTTAACATTTCGCGGTATATGATGGATTGTTCCAGCGATTGCGTTCTTGTTCTTGTTCTCATGGAAGATGGAAAAGGAAGTGAGGCAGAGTGCACTGCAGCAAACGATGTGGTTCTCTGTGCAGACGAGGCTTAAATGCTGAGCGATCTAGTGGCTGGTGCGGGAGGGAGGACGTAGAAAGAATAAATAACACGGTATTATCACAGTGATATCGGTTACGTGCGTTGTTGCTCAGAGGGAGTGTTCCATTTAGATGTTAATAAAACGATCATCTCACAAGATTTTAGGAAGAGAGAGGAGCTATCACATAAATCCTGAGGGGGGGGGGAGATAGCTAGTCCGTAAGGATCAGATAGAAATTGATATTAATATTAGTCGACTGAAATGAAAGAAGGAGGGTAAATAATGAAACTGAATAAATAGGGTGGGTGGATAAAAATAAAAGTGGATGACAGAATGGATAAATTAGTCAATATAGGAATTGGTATATGAGAGAAAGATAGGCAGGAAGAGAGAGAGAAGGCAAGGACTCAATGAGTAAGAGAGAGAGAGGTGGGGGGGAGGCAAAAAAGAGTGAATGAGAGAGAGAACGTTGTAGAATTTAGCGTGAAACGTGACCTAGCCAAGAGAGCTGTAGTGAATGGAAATAATGTTTGTCGGCTCTAGTGTTACAGCCATACTAATGCTTTGACAACTTGGAAACTTTTTTTTCAGGATTTTAGAAAGATGTTTAACATAATACCTAAATTCAGACAGACATTCCTTGTTTTAACCCGCGACATAATAGTTATAATAATCCCATGTCACGCATTTTTTCATGTTTCATAATTCTCTTCACATTTACGCGTCAAACTCTCTCATCTGATACGTAGAAAGTAAAAGCATACGAGACCCACACAGTCTCACAAGTAAGCACAGACTCGCAGTTGCATCCAGAAACTTTTCCGTTACGCTAATCTTACCACGGCTTTCAGTGTTTTGTTTTGAATTCTTTATGTTTTATCCTTTGAATTAGAATGATCTACATGAATAAGAAACTTGGAAAGAGAAACCCAACCAAGGTTAGGTATAAAATATAATAAAAAATTAATAATTTCCTGTGCCGGGAATCGAACCCGGGACTTGCGGCTGAAAGCCACGTATCCTAACCACTAGACCACACTGGATTCATGTTAAGTGAGGTTGTGCTTATGATAAGTTTTAACCTGTGATCAGAAAAGGTATGAGATACGCGACGTATTGCATGGGAGGTGGGGGGGGGGAGGTGCAAAAATCTCTCCACCATTGATCCTTATCAGAGAATTTCTTCCTTCGTTTGCCCATTTTATCGTCAAATTAGATATGCTACATCCTTCAAAGGTATTTTGAGACAGCAAACTGCGCTTCCAAGTGCTCCTTCCGTTGGCATATATTTTCCCTTTTCAAGAAAAAAGAGAAAGAAATTACGTCTCTAGTTGGGACATTCGAGGTCTGCAGTCCGCCATTAACACAAAAAGCATCATTACCCTTTTAAACAATTTGACAGACGACTACTCAGTCTACTCTACAAACAATCAGCGGAAACAGAGTTGCTATTGTGAAATCGCCATTCCTCCCTTCTTTATTTCCGTCTGGTTCCTCTCGTCGTTCCCTCTCTACCAACTTCGTGAATGGGTTAGCATCGATTGTGTTCTAACGGTCTTAAAAGTCATTGATGAATTGCCAAATAGACATTATTAAATCAATAATTCTACAATTCGTAACAGAGGAGGCATGTGTGCCCCCCCCCCCGACTACTCAACTGGCTCTATATTAAAAAAAAAAAAAAAAAAAAAAAAAAATAAAAAAAAAAATCAAACACAGCCGGTCGCTGGCGAGAGAATTAGCCAGATTTTCCCATATTCTCCCAGTTTCGTAATGCCCGAGGTTCTCAGCCACATATCTGAGAAATTATTGTGTGAAGGGATTTATTTTTTTGTATGTTCCTTTTTGTTTTTAGTAGCGTTGGTTAGTTTTTTTTTTTTTTTTTTTTTTTTTTTTGCTGGCCAGGAATAGCTAAAAAATGTCTTTGCTAAATTTTGATGCAGGGTAAGCCCCCCCCCCCAGCCATGACATGGAATTATGCAAAACCTCCTCTCTCTGTATGAAACTTTGTGAGATTACCGTTTTCTAAACATCCAAATGGAACAATACCTGGCCAATGACGCACCTTACCGATATCACTGTGATAATACGTGTTATTTATTCTTTCTACGTCCTCCCTCCCGCACCAGCCACTAGATCGCTCAGCATTTAAGCCTCGTCTGCACAGAGAACCACATCGTTTGCTGCAGTGCACTCTGCCTCACTTCCTTTTCCATCTTCCTTGAGAAGAACAAGAACGGCGTCTATAGCTCTATCTGGAACAATTCATTAAATACCGCGAAATGTTATGTTTTTTGCTGCAGTCGGAACAACGTTTCACTGTCCCCGAAGTGCGCTTGTCTCATACCAGATTAATGGTGACATTTGCAAATCAATGAAATACAAAAACAAGGATACATGAGAAAATTCTTGTATAATTCCTGCATTATGTTTAGATCTCAGTTATTTCAAACACTGTAGACATGAAAAACAGTAAAAAAATATAAATAGATAAATAACTATATTAATTTAATGGGTATTACATGGAAGTTAAAATTAAAGCCAACCTTACAAAGACGAAATAATATTAATAACAAAATCAAGACCAATTGGGGTGGAATAAAAAGAGTAATGAGGTCCCAATCCCCCGCCCTAGAAAAAAAATCTTTTATACCAAAAATTCTTAGCTATTTGGCATCGGATTGGCTGAAAACCTCGAAAGGTGAAATATGGTAAATAGTAGTTGGGGGGGGGGGGGGTGCCAGGGGCCAGACCTAGAATTTTTCAACTGGAGATTTCTAAATTGTTTCTCCTAATTCTCGAAGAGGGAAAGAAATATGCTAAGAGAAAGAGCATTATGAAACGCAGTTCGCTGTCTGAAAATAGCTTTGAAGGATGTAGCACATCTAATTTGACGCTAAAATGGGCAAACGAAGGAAGAAATTTTCCGATAAGGATCAATGGTGGAAAGATAACAAATCAGGGGATCTGATATCACTTCTGATCCCCCGCCCTAGAAATATACAATAATTTCTTAGCTATTTGGCATCGGATTGGCTGAGAACCTCGGGCATTACGAAACAGGAAATATGGTAAATAGTATATATATATATATATATATATATATATATATATATATATATATTTTTTTTTTTTTTTTTTTTGGGGGGGGGGTGCCAGGGCCAGACCTCGAATATCCCAACTGGAGATTTCTAAATTGTTTCTGCTAATTCTCGAAGAGGGAAGGAAATATGCTAAGAGAAAGAGCATTATGAAACGCAGTTCGCTGTCTGAAAATAGCTTTGAAGGATGTAGCACATCTAATTTGACGCTAAAATGGGCAAACGAAGGAAGAAATTTTTCCGATAAGGATCAATGGTGGAAGATAACAAATCAGGGGATCTGATATCACTTCTGATCCCCCGCCCTAGAAATATACAATAAATTCTTAGCTATTTGGCATCGGATGGCTGAGAACCTCGGGCATTACGAAACAGAAATATGGTAAATAGTATATATATATATATATATATATATATATAATATATATGCCAGGGGCCAGACCTCGAATTTCCTAACTGGAGATTTCTAAATTGTTTCTGCTAATTCTCGAAGAGGGAAGGAAATATGCTAAGAGAAAGAGCATTATGAAACGCAGTTCGCTGTCTGAAAATAGCTTTGAAGGATGTAGCACATCTAATTTGACGATAAAATGGGCAATCGAAGGAAGAAATTTTCCGATAAGGATCAATGGTGGAGAAATAATGGCACCTCTCCCCCTCCCCCCCATCTAACAAGTCGTGGGATCTGATATTCTGATCACAGGATAAATAATATAATAAGCACAACCTTCTATAAAAAATAAATCCAGTGTGGTCAAGTGGATAAGACACGTGGCTCTCAGCCCTGAGTCCCGGGTTCAATTCCCGGCACGGGACACTTGGAGAACTTTTTATAATTTATTTTTTATCATACCTTGGTTGGGTTTCTATTTCCAAGTTGTTTACTCACGCAGATCACTGCCATTCGTAAGATAAAACATAAATAACGAAAACAAAAGACTGAAATCAGTGGTAAGATTAGCATAGTTTGGAAAAGTTTCTGGATGCAACTGCGTCTGTGCTTACTTGTGAAATTGTGTGGGTCTCGTATGCATTTACTTTATATCTATTAGATGAGAAAGTTTGACCTGCATAAATGTGAAGATAATTGTGAAACATTTTGATAAAAGGCGTGACATGGGATTACTATGACTATTATGTCCTGTGCTAAAATAAGGAAAGTCTGTCAGAAGTTGAGTATCATGTTAAACATCTTTCCAAAATCCTGACACAGACCTATTCATCCGAGTTGTCAAAGCATTAGTATGGATGCAACCTTAGAGCCGACAAAAAATCTTTCCATGCCTGCTGAAGAATTTTCCAGGAGTACAATAGGAAGGTACAGCATCGACCCCGCGGTACACGCCACGGAATCTACGTTGCTTGGTCGAGGAAAGTAGCTATTTTTATCTATTTTTTTTATTATTATTTATTTATTATTATTATTTTTTTTTTATCAAACTTTTGGTTAAAAGGTTGATTGTTTAGTTGGTAGAAAAACTTCAAAAATCTAAGCTAAATTTTGATGCTATTGAACTTTACTCTTTAAAGAAATTGCTTCAACAGATCCAAGTTTATCTTAAGAGCAGCATTTACGGCATCCGTCTCTACGGATTGCAAAACCAATCGATTTTTTTTCTATGATTGCATCAGTTACCCCTATTGCCTTAGTAATAATGGTAACGTGCAATTATTTCTTATTATTCACTAAACCTATTCCTCGTTTTCATATTTCAATGGTTTACAAACGTCTTTCATCTAAGCTAAATGCAGGTCTTCCTTCTATAAAGCATATATTTACAGAGTCACATTAACGTAGTAAAGAAACACATACAAACATTCAGACAAACACTTTATCTTTCCATGCCGATCGATCACTTTACCGCCTTTTTCAGATTGCTTTCGTCTGAACAGTAATTCGGAATTAATTGTGCAAACAACGCTGAGCCAAACGAGCAAGCAAGATGGAAATCAAATGAAGCCCAGGCTATTCAAAGCAAGGAAATTATGCAATTTCTAAAATCAGTTGCTTCTCGTGCAAGGAATCGAACGCGGGTCTCGCCACCAGGCCACATGAGGATCTGTATCATTATTTGGTTTAAAGATGTTGGACCACAAAAGCAGCTTGTGTTGTCCAACAGTGGTGTCAGATTTAGTCTCTGATTGATGCTAATCATATGCAAAAGGTGGTGCCAGTAATTATATAATTAAATCTTAATATGCTTCTACATGTTTCCCGTACTTGTGTCAGACAAACATTCATATGCGTGCGTGTCTGTAAATGTAACCCTAAATCCAGCCAGGTTTTTCTGTACACTCCGTTAAGATTTGTAAAGTTGATTTAATACTCTCTGTTTAGCACTTCGTCGGTGACTTTTATGAACGTTAGAACACAAACGATGCTAACCCATTAACGAAGTTGGAAGAAAGGGAACGACAAGAGGAACCACACCGAAATAAAGAAGGGAGGAATGGCGATTTTACAATAGCAACTCTGTTTCCGCTGAATGTGTGTAGATTAAAGCATCAGTTTTATTGAAAATGAAGTCTGCCAAAAGTTATTTTTGTGTTAATGGCGGGATGCAGACCTCGAATTTCTCAACTGCAGACTTGTAAATTCTTTCTGGTATTTCTCGAGGAAAGAAATTGGCAACAGAAAGAGCCTTTGGAGGCGCAGTTCGCTGTTTCGAAATAGCTTTGAAAGATGTAGCACATCTAATTTGACGATCAAATGGGCAAAAGGAAAGAATTTTTCTGATTAATGGTGGAGAGATTATGGCACTCCCCCCCCCACACCATCTAACAAATCATGTGATCCGATACCATTACTGATCATGTTTATGTTTTTATAAGCACAATCTTTTCTTAAGAAATCCAGTGTGGTCTAGTGGCTAGGATACGGTCTCACCCGCGAGGCCCGGGTTCGATTCCCGGCACGGGAATTACCTCATTATCTTTTATGT